TGCCAAGTGACAGCAACATCAGGAAGAAGAAGTATGGAGAAGTACCAGGGTCTGAAGGAAGTACTAGAGAAGATGTGGAAAGTAAAGGCCAAAGTGGTCCCAGTGGTGGTAGGAGCACTCAGGGCTGTGACTCCCAAGCTGGTAGAGTGGCTCCAACAGATCCCAGGAACAACATCAGAGCTCTCTGTCCAGAAAAGTGCAGTGCTATGAACACTAAGACACTGTGCAGAACCCTCAAACTCCCAGTCCTCTGGTAGAGGGCCTGAGATTGAGGAAGACATATACCACCCACAAGGGTGAGAGGGGATTTTTTTTTTTTTTTGGCCTATATGTTGTCCTTCTTTAACATAAGGAGAGAAAAAAATGTTTTATAAATGATTAAAAATGTGTTCAGTGTAATCAGTAAATGAATGAATCCAAGTCTTAAATGTTTCTTTTGTATGTGTATGTGTATCTTTAAACACTGCCACTTTATTTGTTTTTTCCAATGCTTTTGCAAAGATTTTTTATTATTATTTCTATATTTTTTAAATGTATACAATAGGGTTTAGCATGGGAGTTAATATACTTTATTGAATTGAGACCACAGTGTCGAGAAATGTAAGAAATTTTGAATTTGGTTTCATGTACTGGAAGGTACTTGAAATATAAAACAAGCAACAAATATGAGGTGAGAGTTTGATGTTGAGAAGGCTGTATTCCTCCTATTTTTTTTACCTGTTCTTCTAAATGATATAGGATATTAATATAGGTACAAAAAGGATGCAACAAAGACAAAAACTGAGGCAAGTAGAATCACGTAATTGGTCAAAGTTTCACTAAATGACAAGCTCAGATCAGTTGTAATTTTACAGTTATAGTGATTGATGGTATTATACTATTGAATGTCAAATTCCTGTACTGAGCATCACACACAAGAAACCAAGTCCCCAAGCTCCACCCACTAGTATCTGCAGAGTTCTTCGTTCATGGTGGTTGCATAATGCAAAGATATCACAATGTAGCAGTCATATGCCATTGATAACAGGTTGAATAATTCAGTACAGCCATATTGCAGGAGAAGGAAAATTTGTGTGAGACATTCTACCCAGGAAATCATTGTCTACACAGGCAGTCCTCATTTAACCACCACAATCTGTTCCAGTGAAATGGTCGCTAAGTGGACCACCTGACAGTGAGAGAGTGCAAAGATCACTGGTTGCTGCTGTCTCATTTAGGGTTCTTTCGTGCAGCAATGCTGGCGTTTCTCTCACTCTGGTATGCATTGTTTATTGTCAGGTGCAGAAATTTGTTTCTAAGTGCACACATTGGTTAGAAAATTATTTTTTTTACTATTGTTTATTACCATTTATTACTGTCATATTTGTGAATGGTCACTGAGGTAGTCAGCTGAATGAGGACTACCTGTATCGTCAAAAGCTTTCCAACATCTTTTGGGGAACTGGCAGTTGAATAGCAAATATCATCAAAGGCTAGATTACTGATTTTGTAGGCTACTCTCTGTTTGGATAACAAGCAGAATTGCAAAGTTTTCTAATACTGTGATGAGATAAATTAATAGAAACCTGAAGAATAGAGCAATCTGCAGGTGTGGATTAGTGGCAACTCACAAGAGTATAAATTCTGACAATAAAGTTTGATTATCCATATTGAATTAACGTCTGTGTGACTAAAACAACAATAACTATACACATACACACACATGCACATACACACAAACACTCATTACTATGGATAATATTGAATCATATTTCTTTCCTCCCCCATCCCCAAAATTTAAGACATATCATAGACTGCCACATTAGTTGTGAGAATACAAAAAGATGAATGTATAAATCAGATCATTTTCCTGTCCTCACCGATGTGATCAGGACACATTTATTTGCAGGACAATACAACAAGCAAGACATGCATATCAGAGAAACCTTACATTTGTTGCTGTATTTATTTACATATCTTCTCATATGAAACATAAGTGGAATATGACTTCAGAATTATTTTGTAGCACTGGCCCGAAAAACAATGGGTTGGATGCAATGACCATTCCCTGCCCATTCTCCTCAGGAAACTATGATTGGCAAGCTGGGTCAGAAAGTGCACAGTATAGATTGCTTCATCCTTCTACAGACCCTAGTTAGACCATCATTGCTATTCCCATGGACTCAGCTCTCAAGATTTTCAGGAACCCTCTGAATCTGAAGCAGCAGAAAATCACCATTGTTTTAATAAGGGCAGAAATGTTCCACATTGAACCTTTCCATTGGCAGAAAGCAAGGGTTTGGATATAGGTTCATGTTTGTTCCCAAGGATATTAGAAAATATTTTATAAGGATGAAAAAACAGTACCTTATAGAAAATAGCTATGGAAGATGGAATTAGTTTGACATTTCTGAGCAGCAAGCTACATGGAAATTTTGCCTATGTTTCTTAAACTTTTTCCAATCACCATTTTAATTTCTTTGTTTTTAAGGCTGTATATGATTGGATTCAACATGGGTGTTATTACAGTGTATTGGATAGAGATCACTTTTTCCAGATCAGTGGGAGATTTAGAACTTGGTTTCAGGTATCGGAAAAAAACTGAAAATAAAAACATGCAAACCACAATGAGGTGGGAGCTGCAGGTGGAGAAGGCTTTGCTCCTGCCTTTAGCTGAGCGAATATGCAAAATAGAAGAAACAATATAAACATAAGACACAACAATAAGGAAGAAGGGAGTAAAAGCAAAAATAATGCTTGTTGCAATCAACAACATATAATTGTTAAAAGTCTGGCTACATGACAAGCTCAAGACTAGAGGAAGTTCACATGTGTAGTGATTGATTGAAGGCACCCAACAAAACTTCAAATGTTTCACAGGCAAAGAGTTGATCAAAGCATCCAAGAAACCCATGATCCAGGAACCTCCCACCAGCTGTCTGCACACTTGTTTTTTCATAATTCTTGAATAATGCAGTGGGTTACATATTGCGACATAGCGATCGTATGCCATTACTGAAAGCAGAGAGAAATCCACACAAGCAAAATGAATAATGGAAAAGATTTGCACAACACATCCTACGAAAGAAATTGTTTTTTGCCTTGCAATATAATTTGCCATCATCTTTGGGACAGTGACTGTCGAGTAGCAAATGTCAACAAAGGCTAGATGACTGAGAAAGAAGAACATGGGAGTGTGAAGACTATGGTCAGTCCTGATTATCAGTATGATCAAAAAGTTTCCTAACACTGTTATAATGTATATAATAAAAAACACACAAAAAAGAATTAACTGTACTTGTGGATTACTTGAAAGTCCCAAGAGTATAAATTCTGTAGTCAAGGTTTGATTTTCCATGGAGAATTGGCAAACGTTGATAAGGTCTATACATGTGAAAAAAAATGAAAGTAATAGTTCATAGATTTTAAAACACGAATACATATTTGATATAATTTGTGCTGCTGATATAGAATATATTGGAATAATTATATATTATTTATTTAAAATATTTTTTCTTCTCTGTATTCATGTGGAACACTGCCTTATAGACATCATCATCATCATCATCATCATCATCATCATCATCATTATTATTATTGAAATCTTTAGTTTGAAGCCTGCTGTTTGATTATGCACATTTTTACTAAGAAGTCAAACCACTGAGTTGATAGTTTTCAGAATACAGATTGTTTTACAAAAAAAGAACTCTGTGAGGTTTGATCCGTTTTCAGAATAAGTTGAATTTCCTATGCTAGCATGATACAAACTGCAATTTGTAGCCCTGGGAGTCCCAAGAGGTGTTGTATTGCACATTGTCCTAAATTGTTCCAAATACTGTATTTGAAAATTGTTCTCATGCTTAAAAAAATAAACATAAAAAGGATTGTCAATGAGAATCTGGAGTCAGTTCTCAAAAGTAGAAAGCTTCAAAAAATTGAGTGGCTAATATTTTTTTAAAAAATAAAAAATGCTACTTCTGAAAGTACAGATTTCCTTATTTATTAACCGTGTAAGACTTATTACTAAGCTTCTATAAATCAAGAAGGGGAAAAAAAGCTTAATTCACATTTACTCTCCAACGTTCACTTATAAAACTTATAATTTTTATTAGGCTGCCTTTTGAGATTTCAGTGAAAAGAGAATTAGGAAAATTGAACTATATTGTTAGTTTTAAAGGATTTTCTACTTCATATTAGTTGTGAATACATTTCCTAAAAATCCTTCAACTCACCTTTACTCTTTGTGTGATTATCAGCCAACTTGTTTTAAAACAATCCTATTGTTTCCCAATCTAACTCTATTCAGACCCACTTTCAACCATCAGCCTTCATGTACAAACTTGTACAGGTACCATGAGAAGCTTTGTAAACTGATCTCATAATAGACTTCTTAGAAAATCAGTTTGTGCTCAGATTCCTTTTAAAGTAAGTAACAAAGAACTATCCTGTGTAATTTTTCCCTTGAAATTTCCCTAGCTTGTGAATTCTCAAAAGACCTTTATTTGTAAAGAAAGCCATTCAGAAACTAAGGAAGGTCCTCCATGCTGAGTGGAGGGACAGGAGCGTGCTGTAATAGGAGAAGTGCAGGTTCAGTAGGCAGCACTTTGCTAATCTGCTCAGAAAGACTACCTGCTGAACTGTTCTAAGGTTCTAGCATATGCGGGGGGCAGTGCAATGTTGATTAAGGTGATTGATGAGGTGTTCATTAAAATGGTAGCTAGTTGTGAGGGCCAATAGTAAGGGTTGAAATGAGTAAAAATATATCCATGATTGTACATATAGCCAGATTAGGTCCACAGGAGTGGACTGCATATGGAAGCTAATCTTGGCAAGGTGTATGAGGACTAGATCATGTAACAACAAAACGGGGAGGGGTGTTATTAAAGATCTCAAGGATTAATGTAGTAAAGTGTCATGTGGGCTTCAGAGGTTCACAGGACCGGATCCAACTCATAGCACACAACATACCTCCTCCCCCCCCTCCTTTTTTATTATGTAAATAAAACAGGTTACTAGTTTTGCTTTCCCTCAAGAAAATCATTCAGGAATTGAAAGCAATTTAGGCAATATTTAATTGCAACATTGAAACAAGCCATAAGTAGCTCGCTCTCTCTCTCTCTCTCTCTCTCTCTCTCTCTCTCTCTCTCTCTCTCTCTCTCTCTCTCTCTCTCTCTCTCTC